TCTGCATGGAGTCAGGGGTCCTATTGGCCATGAGTTATGACGCTTTGTAGCCATCTACAACCCACTGCGCTATACAGCCATCCTGACCCTTCCCGAATTATCTGCATGGGTCTAAGCATTACACTGAAGAGTGTGGCACTCATGGCCCCACTTCCAGTCCTTCTGAAGCATTGCCTATTGTCACACTAACATCCTCTCTCATTCCTACTGTCTCCACTCAGCCTGATCCAGCTGCCTTGTGCTGATACTAAGCTCAATAGCATCCTGGGCTTGGCCATTGTCTGTCCACTTTTGGGCTGGACTCACTGCTCATTGTGGTCTCCTATGTGTTGATTCTTTACACAGTGCTGGGCATTGCTTCTGGGGAGGACGGTGGAAAGCCCTCAACACATGTGTGTCACATATTAGTGCTGTGCTTGTGTATATGTGCTATGATTGGTGTGTCTGTGATGCATCGTGTTGCCAGCATGCTTACCTGTGGTCCACACGCTCATGTCTAGCATCTACCTCTTTGTGCCACTGTGCTTTAACCCCATCATATACAGCGTTAAGACATCCAGCCTCTGGTAATTATCACTCTATGCTCTGTCTCCATGAGATCAGCCTTTTCAGCTTCCATGTATTAGTGAGAACATGTGATATTTCAGACTGCTCAATCTTGTAAGACACAGCATAGCTTAAACATTAAGAGCAGGAACTTTGGATATTGCTTTTACTGTAGAAAACCTACATAAAAATGAGATGTGGAGATTTTTAAATTGTGGCCAATTATGCAAACACACACAGACATTGACAGAGATCACTCGAAGATACAGAGGCATGATGAGAGAGTCTGAGAGTACCATACAGAAGCACAAACAGCACTATAGATAGAGACATACTTCTTACGTACACACCTAGAGACATATTTCTCATGTATACACCTGGACATGGACAAATTCAAACTCACCTGAAAGAGTTTTGTGAAGTGACAGTTGGATCAATAAGCAGAGGGCCAGAGCACACAATGGCTTCAGAATGGGCCTCAGGCAGGCACTAGCCAAGAGAGGAGGCAGACTTTATATGTCAGAGTGGGGTTCCCAGAGGCCAGGCCCTCTGGGGTCCTGCTTTGCCTGAGTGTGATGTTTTGCTAGTGATGGGGAAAGGAGAGGAGTTAGATATCACCTTGAGAATAGAAAGATAAAAAGAAAAAAAAAATCACTTCCCCTGGAGATACTGTCCTCTCCCCACAGAGAAAATGAACTTTCAACTCCTATCTTGTGATGAAGAAGATAAAGACAAATTTCTCCAAGCTCCATAGCAACACTCTCCCACAATGTTCCAGTCTCAAAACCGGAACTGCATGCCCAGAACCTAGAGCCTAGGTCCCTGAATTCCAAACTTCAAACCCAAATCCCAGGCAGTACCTACAGCTTGGATGTCAGTGGGCAAATTCCAGACCTCGGATCTCAGAAACCAAAGCTTTGAACCCAGAGACAACCCCAGGATTTAAACAGTAAAGGATATGACCTTGGCTTTCTTAGTCCACTTATCTCTACTGTCCTCTATTCAATTTCCACTCCCATAATTTTTCCCTCAACCCTCCACCAACTTCCACAAGTTTGAGGTCTCTTCCAGGATACTGAAGTTCCATGGGGTTCAAAATCGCACAAACTCAAGAGTGAATTCCTGGCTTTGCCACCTACCAGCTTCATGATTTTAGGGGATTAACATTCCTTCATCTTGGAACCTGATCTATACAAAGGTTAGCACCTATCTATGGGGGATAGGGTTTCAAATGAAAAGAAGAAAATAATTGGTTTGTTTGTTTTAATTTTGGGAGACAGGGCATAAATATTTATTTAATGAGCATATATAAGGAGAATCAAAGTAATTGCCCTCCCCCCAATGGAGTTCAGAAGCTTATGTACCATCCTGGAAAACAGGTTATGGAATGGGAGAGAAGAGTAATTCTCTGGAGGGGCAATAAAGGATGGTTGAGGAGAATAAATGGATCCAGGAACAGCGATTAACTTGTAAATAGTTCTCTTTGACAATGAAAGGGTCTGTTCTAGTGTAGTTACATATTTTGTCTTACAGGGAAGGAAACAAAAAACAACTGTTCTGTTGGTGAATCTGGTGAATCTAGGCAGAGAGAGGCCTGTGCTTTGGGAGAGAGCTTGAGGCTGCTTCTTCAATTCAGCATGTCAAAATGCCATATTTTGAGGTATTGGTTTCCGAGCTCCAACATTCCCTTGTGTAAAACTTCCCTAGAATTTTCATACACTAAAAGTGAATTGGTAGCTGTGGAGGAAAAAGTCAAGTCAATAGTGCAGTGGCAACGGATTTCATTAAACCAGTCTCCCATTTCTGGGAATAAGCCAGTCCCACGCTTGTTTGTTTTTAGTTAAATGTGCCACCCATGATAATTGTCCTTATCATAAGTTCTGTTACAGGTCCCAATTTTAGATCTCCCAAACAAGTTCTTTTACCCAGTACTTAGGCTTCCCATTAAATATTTCATTTTACCTTTTCCTTGTTTCAGTTTCAAATAAAGTGAGGATGTATTGAGGGAAAAAAATGGCAAGAGGGCTTTCTTCCTTTCTTGTCAATCAAGTGATAAGCTAAATTCAACTAGGCAAACAGAAGATGGGAATGGGGGAAATGTTCCCTTCTCCATGCGAAACTCTAAAGTATCAGAGGGGCAGTTTGAAAAGAACACTTTCTGCTTTTCGTTATTATGATAGGATCAGTGGGCTCAGACATAATGAGTTGGGAACCAGGAGATGTAATTCAGGAGAACGCAGACAGCAGCCTTATGGGTAAGGACACAGAGTCACAGAAAAAGAAGGAGACTGAAATAATGCCTCAGATTGAGCACAAGTGTCTGGAAAGAAGAGGTCAGGCTTTGAGAAATGGAGTGAAGAGACTCTAGCTATGCTATTACAGGAGAAATGAAGGGAACATGCACCAGTCTGGGGCCAATTTCTTCATTCATACAATTAGTCATTTGGTTGTTCATTTAAATCACATGCACTGGTGTGCCAAACTCTGTGCTGGGTGCAAGGTTTTAGCTTTGACTGTCATTATTTCTCCTTTTTTGACTTTTGAAAATTTTTTTTCCAGGACTCAGTTTCTGCCTCCATTAAATGGGGAGATAAGAGAAATCCAAAATACCCCTTCATTCACTCTGATAGTGATAATGCTAAACAACATCTGTGCAAATCTTAACCCAAAGGGTTTATTGTGTTGTCTATGGGGAAATTATAAACCTCTTCCTTACTCAAAGTTTAAATAGAGAAGTAAATATGCCCCATAGAATGTAAGAACTTTCCACTATGGAGCAAAGCAAGGACAGGCACAATCTGCAGCTAAATGTTTGACGGACAAGAATACAAAAAGATTAAACATATCTCATTTAAAAAAGGAAGAAGAATTAATATACTTTCAGAAAAGACAAAGAAGTCTTAGAAGAGCTCCTGATCAGGGGACTTGTATACATTGAAGTACCATTGACAAAATAATCTTGCCTAACCCTCCCCCACCTCACTGTGACAACCAACTGATCTCTCTCTCTCTCTCTCTCTCTCTCTCTTCTATTTGCCCAAAGACAAGCTGTAAAAATGGAATTTGCCTGACTTTTGGATGTCAAGTAGGTTGGGATGGCAGGGTGCAGGAATTAGGGGAAAGGAATATAATTGCATCAAGGAGCAATGACTGTGGAGTGGCTGAATTCTCTGAAGCTATTTCTGTGTTCCCCCTGCAGCACCTTGTGAAGATAATAAGGCTACAAGTCTGCATCTCCCCTCACCAAAAATATCATGTGCTGAGTGATGATGCACTCAGTTTCCCCCAACTTTAAAAGTTATTCCCAAATTGTCTTAGGCAATCTCTCAAGATCTTGTTTAAAGACCAACCAAATGTTTCAGTGGGAAACTTGCTCTTTCTCTAAACAAAGATAATTGAAATATTTCCAAATATTCTAGACAAATATCCTAGTTTAAAGATTCTCAATCTTACACATGTATCAGAATAACTTGGATAAGTTATTAAGGCATAAACTTCTGGGTCCTATCTCCCAGAGTTTCTGGGTCAGGATGTCTGAGTAAAGTTCTCGGAATTTGCATTGCCAACAAGTTCCCAAGCAATTGTGATGCTGCTTGTCTGGGAATCATATTGAGAAGCACTTTTCCAAACTCTTGTTACTTTGAGTCTTGTTACTCTTGTTACACAGCAGAGGGGCAGCAACCTAATACCTAAGAGGGATTATAAACATCATGCTTTTCAAGCTTTAATCATCTGAGGTTCTTATTAAGTGCTGTTGTTATTTCATAGGTCTGGTGTGGGACCAAAGATTCTATTTCTTTAACAAGCTATCAACTAACAGATATGCCAATGGTATTGTTCACTGAACCATACTTGGAATAGTAAGTTTCTAAACTTTTCTGCCTAAATGTTTCTTCTCAGAGACTATATCTGCCCAAATCAGTAACCTCCCTTCACCTGCCATCCTGTGTCAAGTGCTCCAATCTCTCTTATCCTTTACAAGCTACTTCACAACCACTCAAATAGCCTGCCTTTATTTCTGCAAAGCAAATAGATTTTCTCTCTTGCATGAAACACCAAGCCTCAATAGTATTTTTCCTATTTTAATGTTTATCACTCCCTCACTCTGGGTGGTAGCAGAATTATTTGTGTTCAAGCTTATTTGCCCTGCAGAACTTTAGTTATACCCATATATGCCAAACAAAAATTTTCAGGGCATCTGTTGCTCTTTTTTTACATTTCCCTTGACAGGTCTATCTTATGAATTAAAATATGTCTTAGGTTATGGTATTCTCAGCGACTAGTGCAAGGATTTTCACATGGTAAATGTTCAATAAAAATGTATGACATTTTATTGAGTCAGATATTCTTTTATTAGTGCCACAACCACGCCTATCAAGATTCTTTATTCATTTCCTCCTTGTTCTAGCATTCCTAAAGTTAGCGAACAAGTCCTGGTCCTTCCTCCAAAAGAGTTCTCTCAGGGTTTGCAGCCTTCATCAGGCCTGGGATTTATGGAAGATCTTGAAGATTCCTTTGCGGATTTCCTTGGTCTTCACACTGTAGATGATGGGGTTGAGCAGAGGGGGTACAAATAGGTAGACATTGGACATCATGACATGAACAACAGGTGGGGCACTTTTCCAGAAGCGGTGGATCATGGAGACAGCAATTATGGGCACATAAAAGGCCAGCACTGCACAGATGTGTGACATGCAGGTGTTGAGTGCTTTGAGCCGCTGCTCCTGGGATGCAATGGCCAGCACAGCTCTCAGGATCAAAGCATAGGAAAGCAGGATGAAAGTTGAGTCCACACCATAGGTGAAAATGACCACAAAGAGCCCATAGATATTGTTGACATGGATGTCTCCACATGCCACTTTCATGAGATCTGGGTGGAGGCAGTAGGAGTGATGCAAAACATTGCCTTTGCAGAAGGGCAGTCGTTTCACCAGAAAGGGGAAAGGAAAGAGAGTGGTGAAACTCTTGGTAAGGATGCCCAAGCCCATAGCCAAGATGCGGCTGTTGGTGAGCACTGTGGCATAGCGTAGAGGGTTACAAATAGCCACAAAACGATCAAAGCTCATGGCCAGAAGTATGCCTGATTCCATGAAAGAGAAAGTGTGAATGAAGAACATCTGGACCAGGCAGGCATCGAAGCCAACATGGCGGTAGTTGAAGCAGAAGGTGGCAAGCACTGTGGGAAGTGTAGAAAGGGACACTCCCAGGTCATTGAGAGAGAGCATAGAGAGGAAGTAGTACATGGGCTGGTGCAGAGCAGGCTCCCGAAACACCAGAGCGAGGATGCTGAGGTTGCCTACGATGGAGATCAGGTAGAGGATGCAGAAAATCAGGGCAACCCAGGCTACATCTGTCTGTATCCCAGGAATGCCTGCAAGCTGGAGTGTGGCTGGCTGGAATGGGGTGCCATTGAGGCCCTGCATGTCAGGCAGGTGGGAGAATACAGATGGGGAATGGGCCCAGGAGGATGTGTTTAGGGAGTTCTTCACTTTCTTTCTTTCAGATATCCTGTCTCCAACAAAAGTTCAGAGATTGAAAATGTTTGCCTATCTGTGTTTCTGACTCACAGGTTAGACTCTAAGCTCTTTGAGGAAGCCACTGGGTTCTACTCATTTTTGTGTCACACTCATAGCATGGCAAGAAAACATGAACGAAGTCCTTTAGTCCTCACCTGAGACTGCAGTATCTTTCCACTTCCTTATCTTACCCCGGATGCCATGTTCTAGGAATTTTTTTTAAAAAATAGAAATTAGGATAGACTGGGCACAGGAAACCGTGCTCAGTCCTTTGGGGACTTTATAGTAGATAGCATAGATAGAACATCTCCTGCTATTAAATGACAGCTTCAATTACCTTTACTCAGACTTCACATCAGCCTCCCAATCCCAATGGCTGCCCCTGAACTTGTCATCATCATAAACTACTCCACCTCTGAAATCTTAAATTTCAATCTTCCACATTCTGACTATAGGCTTCTACCTTGCAGCTCTCTTACTTTTTCAAAGCTACCCACTTGCTCTTGAATCTCCATGATTCTTTCATTTCCTTCTGGTCTACCTGCCTATTAACTCTTCCTTCCTCACATTTTTCCTGCCATATTCCCCTGCTAAGACTGGACCTTCATATCCTCTTTGTCTGTCTTTCACATACACATGGTAAACCCAACCTCTCTATAGTCAAGCTGGGTGTGCAGCTGGGTAAAATCAAAGAAGCAAATATTTTATTGAAATCAAAAAGGGAGATAATTATAACTTGCTATTACCTAAATTTTAAACTTATTCGCATCTTGATTCATTCTTAACCCCTCTTTTCTGAGAAGGAGATTGTTCTTCTTCACAGGCAGGCTCTCCACCTTCAGGATTTCATTTCTTGTCACCCCCTCAGAGACCTTTAATCCACTGTACCTTCTATCTCTTTCTTTATGCCTCTTTTTTTTCAGGCAATAAGTATGTGCAAGACCAAGCCATCACAAAAACACAATAACCTTCCCCTGTAGCTGCCACTCTGTGACCCTTTCCCAATTCTTTGTCAAATTCCTTGAAACATTGTATCTCCAGATGCTAAGAAATGGGAGGCTATAATCTGTTTGGTTATGTGTTTGCTTCTCCAATTTAGTTCTGAGATCCCAATGTCACTGATTCAATCTTATTGACCTTGCCTTTTCTCACCACCCATTACATAATATTGTGGCTTCTACACTTTCCCCCTCAAAACTAAAGCAAAATTCTCTATGGTTACAAATTTCTCTTTGTCTCTAAATCTAATGAAAGTATTCTCTCCTGTAATTCATTTAACCTCCTGCCACAGGTTACACGGTTGGGAACTCATCTTTTTGGAACTGTGTTCTTCCTTCAAGGGCACCATGTTTTCACAATTTTATTCTTACCTTGACATCTCCTTCTCTACCATCTTTACTTAAATCTCTTTTCTGTCTTTGTTTTTCGTCAACCTAATTCCAGACGAATTAAACAATAATCAGAATGGTGCAAACTGGAAAACTACATGCTTCTTGCTCTTTATTTAAAATAGCTCTTTAATTGTATTTCCATGGCATCTGGCATCTCAAAATTAAAGCTCCATTCTGGAATTTAGGTACAATGGCTCCTCCATTCCTTTTGCTCTTTCTATAATTTCATTCTATTTCTAGCAATTTTGGTAAACCCAGTGAAGTTAATGGAAAGACTCTTGGTGGCATCAAAAGGTACTAAGAACTCTTCCACAAGATAGGTTTTCCCCACTGTCTGTAACCCCTGGCATACAATTTGAAGTAGTCCAGAAAGGTAATATTTTATCTATGCTCCATATTTTTCCTTAGTCTGGAAAAAAATTTTGAAAACTTCACTCCCATGGAGAACAATGCCACCTATCACCCAACAGCCATTTTTCCCCATGCTTTGTTCACAGGTATGTAGTTAAGACTCATAATGTGACCAATCTTGGACGAAAGGTCAAAAAGGAGACAAACACAAGCAATGCACAGCATATGCCTGAGTATGCACACACTCAGTCACTCAAAGGTGCCAGAAAATACACATACAGTTACACACCCAGGTATTCATACATACTATCTCACATCCACACATACACAGAAGCTACCATACACGCCCTTGCTCACACAAAACACTATCACACCACAGAACTTAGGAAGAATCACAGCTATTCATTGGTATTGAACAATATATTTCAAATATTCCCCCACATTTAAACCCTCCTAAACACATATTTATTGATATAAACAAACACACACACAAATGGTGTCACAAATGAATCAGCACTAAGAAACCACAGTAATATACCCACTAATTATGTTCTCATGACATACACAATACTGAAAACCCAGGTAGCATTGAAGACCACATTGTTAAATAACTTCAGTCTATTTGATTCAGTGATCTCTCTCCAGCTGCACACCCAAGAACCAGATATAGGAAATGATAATTCAAATTGTAGGATTTAAAACAAGAAGTATAAAATACCCAAAAGATAATAATCTGTAAATTATGCATCAGACTTAACTTAGTGGTATGTTGTTTACTATTAGGGTTATGATTCAGATGAAAACCTGACACCAGTGGTCTGTGATCCTGGACTTTGGAAGGGGTCAGATTTGGTTCACATCTAGATGGAGGATATAAGGGTCAGAGTCTGACTGGAGTTTTAGAAAAAGTGTTATAATTTGGAGTAAAGTCTAAATAAGGATCCCAGCTGGGCAACCTGAAGGAGGAGCACTCACTGAGTGGAGGATGTTTCTCTTGTAGCTGGATGTGCCGTGCTGTGGGTCCAGCTGGCAGAGCGACATCAGCTCATTCTCCTATGATTCATAATTTATGAATACCCCAGAATCCCAAGGCATTTGTTTGTGGTAGCAGGAGGGGGGAGTGGAAATAATTGGGAGAATGGCCCTGTGTTATCTGGGCCATAGGAAAATTGCTCCTAAGAGAATCTCATTCTTGGACCCATCATCCCTGATGTCATCATTCATATTCATTAGCATATTAATACTACCTTGATTAGGAAATGTAAACACATTGCATACATGTATGCACACATACACAGTCATAGATATTCTGAGACCTCCCCACCCCAGATATATACCCTTAGACACATTCAGCTATTTATTTACTAACATTTGCATTGTTTTTTTCATGTTTTTTACATACATGTAAACAACTGCAAATATACTCATGCAACTGCCCAGTGCTCTAGTTACTAGTCACATATATTGATACATCACACATGCACTATAATCTACATATTATTACACTGATTTTAGAGGCTACTTTAAATTATAGACATAATTTTAGAAATAGACAATTAATAGACTCATAACATACTTGAAGAAATGATAAAAAATGCTTCAAATATATTCCCCTGCGTATATATCCAAAAAGTATACATTTCAAACACATACCCACATTCTTATTAACAGATCAATAAAATGTCCAAAAAATTCAGATACCTACATTTATTCACAGATTCGTATATGGAATTTAGATGTGTTATACATTTTTTGTAAAAATGCATGCCAGCATTCATATAACATGTTTTTATGCAAACAATTCCTTTACTCTTTCATAATATGGGACCTAAAAATTATAAGCAATTTATTTCAACTAAACTAAACAAATGGAAGAAAAACATATTTTTGAGCAACATTTTGCTCTAGATATTATTCTCAGCACTGATGATATATAGAACAATAAAGACACAGCACCTATTCTTGCAACAAAGATAAATATTGAAAAACTAAACCACCTAATAGGCCAGACAAATAGGCCTCCAAACCCTATCTATAAATATGTCATAAACAAATTTCACAACAAAGCCAATGCATTTGTCAATACTTACCTAATGTTTGCATAGTATTTGTATGCATTATGAATTTGAATAAAAGAAAAGAACTATACAAAATGCTGAATTCTAAATACTGATACGAAGGCTGAAATACTTAGTTAGGAGGAATGTATTGACACGTGATTTAACTTGCATTGCATCACAAGGTAAGATGTATTGATGGATGAATAAAAAGATTGATATGTGGATAGGTATACAAGAAATCACACATAATAAAATATTAATAAGGGGTATTTCTTGTGAATTCTTTCAAGTTTTCTGTTTAAATTTTCATGGTAAAATGTTGGGAAATTTTTTAATGAAAAAAAAGAAAAAGATGGAGAAAGACAGACCACTATCCTGAAAGTACAACCATGTTCAAAATTGCAATGAAAACTCAAACTAATATAAGTTCCTTTAAACTAATGCTGAGCACCTTTTATATCAACTCACTATTAGAATATTATGAAATAAATTTTATGTATTTGGAATAATTGATATTTTTCACAAGATTAAAGACAAAAATTAAGTATTTCAGTTGCAGCTTATTTTTCCCAAGGTCAACTGCTTATGTTCAACAAATAAATACTCCTTGCCATAACTATTCATATGTGCCATTCTAGGGACATCTGGTTCTTCCCCCACAGAGCTCTTTCCAGGGGAGGCCACAGAAGCATGCAGAGCCATCTGTAATAGATTGTGATTACCTCTATTTTTCTTCTCAACTTCCTCTCCAATGTGTTAATGATGCCTCAAAGACATCATCGGTAACACAGTAGAGAGTCCCATGAGTCTTTTTTTTCTTCTTTTTCAGTCCTATCATCTTCTCACTGTGAACTATGAGTCAAGCTAATCTCACAGAGCCTGAGATATTAGGGGTATGAGTAGGCTTTGATAGTGCACCAATCATGACAGAGTTTCTGGAGAAATCTGGCTATCTGGCTTTGGGAGAAAAGATCATTTTATGCAATAGAATCTCTACTTCCCAGAACTCAACAAGTTTGATTACTCTTATTTTGCACCAACTACAGTGAGTTGATACTTTCCATGGTGTTGACTATGCGCATGAAAGCCCATGGGAGTTCATGTATCTTACAATGGTAAAAATACAATAAGAATAAGGCAAATTGT